CACTTCTGACATTATCTACCCGGGGTGAAAACTACCCCATTTTAGATTTCAACCACATGTCCCAGGTTGTCATCTGTATTTCTGCCCAACCAGTTATAAATGGGGAATCCCTCCACCCCTGCCTCAGGTGTGGCAATGTGCTACTATTATGGCCTGTAGAATGTAGGGAAGGAACCGTCTACTTGTGCTTGCTGGTTTATTCATTTTTGTGTGTGTTTTTTCCTCCCATCTGTTTGTTAGTATATGTTTGCAATACATAATAAATATGTTTATCGTGGGAAATTGGCACATATACATATCACATCTTGATCCTTTTTACCTCACCATCCCCTCCCCTCTCCTGTCTCCTGCATTCCCAGATCCCCTTCTCATCTCCGCAATGTCTACTTTCATTTCCTTATATCTATCTTTTATTTTGCTCCTAAATTATTATATTTCGGTTTTCTCATATAAGACAAACTATACAACATTTAACCTGTGTAAGATTTATTCCACTCAGCATTATGGTCTCAAGGTGCACCCATTTTCCCACGAATGCTGTTTGCTGACTTTTTTCTAAAGGGTATGACACAGGGCACAGGTGAACAGGCAGGTGAGGGGCACAGGGCGAGGTCTGGAAGCAGGTGCTCTGTGGTTGTGAAGTTGGGGTGTGCTCTCTTGGCATGTGGGTGTGTTTACCAACTAGGAAGCTCTCTGAACTCCGTCTGTTAGGGATTTTTATGGAGACTTCATGAATGCAGGTATGATTAATTATTAACTCAATCTCTAGCCTTTCTCCCCTCGCTGAAGGTGGAGGGGAGGGCTGAAAGTCCCCAGCTGGTCTTTCTGGTGACCAGCCTGTATCCTGAAGCCAGTGGGGACTCACTGGAAAGCTTTCTCACTGCCTTTGAACACTAGTTTCAAAGGTGCCAGACATGATTCCATCCTCCAGCCTTGTACTCACCTTTCCTTCTATTTGGAAAAATTTCCTGGGATTTTCATGGGTAGGGTTTTCAAAAAACTTTTTATTAAAGAAAATTCCAAACACACGAGAGTAAAGAGGATGATAGAATGAGGCCCTGTGTTTACCCAGCTTCCATGAACTTATAGTGGATCCTTTTCACCTATATCCCTTCTCCCCCTCATCTCTTTGGCTTACTGGATTTATTTTTACTTGTGCTAAAATGTAAATACCATAAAATTTACCAGATTAACTATTTTTAGGTATACAGTTCAATAGTGTGTTTTTTTCTTTTTTTTGAGACAGTCTCTTTATGTAGTTCAGGCTGGCCTTGAATTCACTATGAAGCCCAAGCTGGCCTTGAACTAGTAGTAATCCTGGCTCAGTCTCCCAAGTGCTGGGATTACAGGTGTGTACCAGCACACCTGGATAGTAGTCTTTACTACATTTATATTGTTATGCAACCAAGATCCAGAACTCTTCATCTTGCAAAGCTAAGGCTCTATACCAATTAAACAATAATCCCTATTCCTCCCTCTTGCCAGCTCCTGGGAACTACCCTTATACTTTCTGTTTCTATGAAACTGATGTGTCTATCCTCATATAAATGGAATCATACAGTACTGCAACTGGCTTATTTCACTTAGCAAAATGTCTTCCAGTTTCACCCATATTATAGCAGATGTCAGAGTTTCCTGCATTTTTAATGCTGAGTAATATTTTGTTGTACGTATATACCACATTTTGCTTATTCATTTGTCTGCAGACTCTTGAGTTGCTTCCACCTTTTGGTTTTTGTAAATAATGGTGCTGTGAATATGGATGTACACATATCTCTTTGAGACTATGCTTTCAATTCTTTTGGGTGTAATACAGGAGTGAAATTGATGGATCATATTATAATTCTATTTTCAATTTTTTTAGAAACCACCATACTGTTTTCCAAGTGGCTGCACCATTGTGCATTCTCACCATTCTCTGACTTTTGTTTATTATTTTGTGGTACTGGAGGTTGAACCCAGGACCTTCATACAGAGCTCCATCCTCAGGGCTGTTTTATTTTTTATTTTGAGGTAGGGTCTTGCTAAACCACTAAATTGCCCAGCCTGGACTCAAACTTGTAATCTACTTGCCTCAGCCTCCCAGAGTCCTGGGATTATAGGTGTGCGCTAACACTTCTGGCATTTATTTATTTAGTAATGGGGATTGAACCCAGGTCTGTCACACTGGGCTACAACCCCAGCCCTTTTTAAAATTTTGAGACAGGGTCTTGCTAAGTCCCTAGGATGCCCAGGCTGGGATTGAACTTGCAGTTTTTCTGCCTTAGCCTCCTACAGTGCTGAGATTTCAGCCTTGCAGCATTACCTCTAGCTTGTTTTTAAATAGTAGCCATCTGAATGGGTATGAGATGGTATCTAGTTTCTTAGCATTGAGTTATTTTAAAGCAATTTCCAGACATCATCTAATTTTATCATGACTGGTGTCTCATTTTGTGACAAGGGTGGTTTCCTGTTGTTAAGAAAGAGTCCCTGGAAGACATTCTATGCAGATTTAAAGTCTGAAAGTGCTAGAGTCATTTGAGGATGAAGCCAACTCTGAGGGGACAAAGTCAGGGGAACTGCAGACAAGTGAAGCAGGAGGCCTGCCTGAACCATACCCGATCAGTGCCTTACCTTTCAGCTGAACGTAAGTCAATAAATTCTTATTTAAAAAAATGTTTTGACAAAGCTTTTGCAAATGGGGAGGGGAAAAAGGGTTGAAGAAAGGGGAGCGGAATAGGAAAAAAAGAAGAATTAAGATATATTATGTATACCAGGCCGGGGATTTAGCTCAGTGGTTCTGCTGCCTGCCTCAAAAGCACAAGGTCCTGAGTTTGATGCCCGGTACCAAAAAAAAAAAAAAAAGATATATTATGAACAGAGACAAATTCCCTATGATAAATGTGATCATTATGGATGGCAAACATGTACTAATAAAAAAAGGTTTTGAAATTGAGTTTCTGTTACTTGTTGAAAGCATCTTAGTACACCCTTATTTTCCTTTCTTCATAGCCTGTGTTGTTACCCAGTATTTTTCGTGTTCATTTGCTATGTATGAGTTGTTTCTCTTCTCATAGATTGCACACTTGATGGTATCAAGAACCTGTTCTTCATAGTTACCACTGCTCTTCCAGCACCAAGAACAGCACCAAGCACTTGGGAATCACTCAGATTTTTTTTATCTTGGTACCAGGGATCGAACTCAGGACCTTGTGCTTGAGAGGCAGGCACGGTGCCACTGATCTAAATCCCCAGCCCTTAAACAATGTATTTTTTAAACAAATACTTGCTTCAGAATTATTCCATTTTAACCTATTTTTAATGTATCTATAAATCAGTTTAATATTATCTTATTAATTATTAAGGAGACCATTACAATCGCAGTTACATTACCAGTCACAAAAGAGGAATAAAATGTATAGTAGGCTTTAGAAATTATCTTGGTTCAAAAATTATAGACTTAAACTCATTAGGCCTTTTTTGTTTTTGAAGTACTGGGGATTGAACCCAGGGTCTTTGCACTGAGCTTCATACCTATCCCCTTTTTTGTTTTTTATTTTTATTGTTGGTACCAGGGATTGAACTCAGGACCTTGTGCTTTCAAGGCAGTCTCAATGCCACTGTGTTTTTTATTTTTAGATGGGTCTTGCTAAGTCACTAAGTTGCCCAGTTTGGGCTCAAACTTCCAATCCTACTGCCTCAGCCTCCCAGAGTGCTGGGATTATAGGCATGTGCCACCATTCCCAGCTTTAAAATTGTTTTTATAATTCATTATTGAACTATTTTATTTGTTAGAGAATTTGAAAGATTAAAATATTTTATAAGTGATATTATAGTTTTAGCAGGTTGATGCTTAGTGTATTGTCTGTTTTCTTTTTTTTGTATTGTCTGTTTTCTGAACAAAATACTGAGAAATTGTGTGAGTCAGCTTCATCTAAAGGACAATGGTTAGTTTTCTGACTACTTGATAAATTATGTGAATTTGGGATTCCCTTAGGGATAACATTTACATGACCAAACTTGAAAATCTGCCATGACTGAGAGACTAGCTTTGTAGATAACATGACTTCATTCCTAACCAGTTTAAAAAGCTAGAGAATGAGGGAGAAGCAGAACAGAACAAGGCGGTGGTGCTAAGGGGTAAAAATCAGAGCTGTTGCCCAATATTTGCCCAAATTTATTAGGCTCTGGCCAGTTAAAGCTCATGAATCTCACAAATATAAATCAATATGAAATACTAATTTGATGCCCTGATCAATTTCCCTATGTTCTTTCAATGGGAAATTTCATATTGAGCTTTACTTTTTGGTGTGTAGGAATTTATTACTGAATCATTTGAGAAAACTTTACTGCATTCTTTCTTTTCGATTGTTGAATTTGGTTAGGGCTGTGAAAGCACCAGGTTAAGAGAATATTTATTTCTTTAGCAGCCAAGAAAGAGTAAGCATATTATTCCCTCTTCACATACCCAGGGTGGCCTCAGAAAGTTCCCAAAGTCAGGCCTGTTCAGGGTACTGCCTTGTCTGGCACTAGCTTGTAGGGTGTGTATCCACCTGGAACAGAATTTAAGACCATTCTCACATCAAGAAAACTATCGTTTATCTTATGAGAGCTTGACAAATGTCAGCCTGGAGTCTGAAAGCTTTTAGTGTGCCAATCATTCTAGTTGTTTGACTGGACCATCTTCTGATGTCTTTTTTTTGGTACCGGGATCAAATTTAGGACCTTGCACTTTTGAGGCAGGCAGAGGAACCACTGATCTAAATCCCCGGCCCCTTCTGATGTTTTTTAAGTGGCTTTAGTCTCATTTTGTACCCTTGTAGTAGCAGAGAGCTATTTATCTGGAAGGGGTAATAAGGAGCTGGAAGTTGTATTTTACCTTAAACTGTGTTGATCTTACTGTATGGATGTGATGTGACAACTTAAAAATGAAAAAGGAGGAAGAGAAAAACACCTGACTGAAATTCAAACATTAGAACAAACTGTACATGTGAAGGTTTCCCAGTGGGAGATAGACATTTTCAAATCTCACTTTTAGTCCTTGGGCCTCCTAACATTCTCTTTAGGGCCATCTTTACCTCTTGGTTCCTCAGAGTGTAGATGAGGGGGTTGAGGAAAGGAGTGATGGCTGTGGGAAATAGAGCAGCTGCTCCATCCAGAGGGCTGTTGGCTTCAGGCCTCAGGTAGATGAAGGCACAGGGCACATAGTACACAGTGACCACAGTTACATGGGCTCCACAGGTTGAGAAGGCCCTGCGCCGCCCATCAGCTGTACGGATTCTCAGGATTGCCCGAATGATCTGAATGTAGGAGAGGAGGATCAGGAAGAAGCAACTGACAACCACGACTCCAATGTCCACAAAGGTCACCAGCTCATTGACTGTGGTATCAGCACAGGCCAGCCTCAGGACCGCGGGGATGTCACAGAAGAAGTAATCTACCTGGTTGGGCCCACAGTAGGGCAGACGGAAAGTTAGAATGGCCTGGAGAGCTCCATGGAAGGAGCCAGCCACCCAGGCCCCAGCCACAAGCAAGGTACTCAGTTTAGCAGTCATGAGCACAGGGTAGTTCAGGGGCCAACATATTGCCAGGTACCTGTCATAGGCCATCAAGGTATACAGGAAGCACTGGGTGCTGCCCAGAAAGTGATAGAAATACAGCTGAGCAACACAGCCACTGAATGGGATGGGTATTATGCCTAAAATGAAGTTCATCATGAAGCGAGGGACAGTGATACAGGAGATGCCCATGTCAATGATGGAGAGGACACCAAGAAAGGTATACATGGGGCGGGCATGGAGTTGCGGGTCTGCCCAGACAGTGATCAGAATTAGCAGGTTCCCCAGCTGGGTCAAGATGTAGATTAGCAAAAAGAATGTAAAAAGGAATGTCTTTAGCCTGAGTGGGTAGGGAATTCCCATCAGGATGAACTCAGTTAACAGTGTGTAGTTGACTCTTTCCATCTGCTGCAGAGATCTTACCTAGAGAATGGACAAAATGGGAGTTAGCATAGAAGTGCGAGGGAAGCCAGGGGAAACTAGAGAAACAGATAGTAGACAGCAGGAGTAGTGGCAGAGAAGTTTGTTTGTTTGTTTGTTTCTTTTTCTTTTTTTTTTTTTTTTTGGTACCAGGGATTGAACTCAGGACCTTGAGCTTGCCAGGCAGGTGCTGTGCCACTGGGCTAAATCCCCAGCCCTAGTTTGTTTCTTTCTTATGACCAATATAGGGAGAAACTAGTTTCTCTTATAGGATTTTTGTAAATAAAAGTTTCCTGAAACACCACCACACTCCTTAACTTACATTTGGCCTACAATACTTTGGAACTATGATGGCGGAGATGAGTGGTTGTATTTGGCCTGAAAACCTAAACAATTTACTGTCTGGACCTTTAGAAAAAGTTTTATACCTGGAGAACTTCCCTGGTAATCTTTGGAAAATAACCTCTGACTGTTGTTTAGAGCAGGTCAGAATTTCCTGGATACACAACATGTATGGGAAAGGGTTTTTGCTGCATTAGATAGTCTGCCATTTCAGAATCTTCCAGAGAACACTGGCTCATTATCATCCCTGCCACGACACATGCTTACACAGGGTGGGAATATCAGAAAGGAAACAAAGGGACAACTTTTCCTCCTTTGTTGTAGAGAGAATGAAATAGAATACTGATTAAGTGGCTAGTGGTGTGTGGGGGACTGCTCGATGCTGTGCAGATATTTTCTTCAAGTTCTTTCCAACTCTAAGGCAGAGAATTCCAGGAGGGTGTAAGTATATAAATGTAATGAGGACTAGACTACCATGCAGTGTGGTGAGTGGTTGGTGCTATGCATCTCAGTTGCTCTGTTTGTAATTATTCAACTTTAGGATATGGTAAAGGAAGAGAGAAGAGATGGAACAGAAGAGGAATGGTTGTAGTGAGAAGTCAGGCATTAAAGGGAAAACAGTGATGACTAGAGAGATTGAGGGGAGCATAATGAGAGAGGAGCTGGAGCAGAGCAACTAGCTCTCGGTGTGGAAGATTTTTTTTTTTTTTTTTTTAATTCTGTTTTGTTTTTGTTTTTTGAGACAAGATCTCACTATGCAGTCCAGCCTGGCCTTGAATTCACTATGTAGCCCAAGCTGGCCTCCAACTTGTGACTATCCTCCTGGCTCTGCTTCTCCAGGGCTGGGATCACAGGTGGGCATCACCATGCCTGGCTACACTGTTTTTTGGCAATGATTTGTTTTGGGGTATGATCCTGAAAGCACATGCAACAACAACAAAAATAACCAGATTGATGCTATTACACCAAACTAAAAAGCTTCCACAGGTCAAAGGAAATAATTAATAAACTGAAGAGACAACCCACTTACAAGGAGAAAGTATTTGCAAGACAGACATCTGATAAGGGGCTAATATTCCAAATATATAAAAATAGCAAGAGAACAACTTGATTAAAAGCTGGGCAGAGGATTTGAATAGATATTTCTCAAAAGTAATACTAAACATTACTGTTCACCAGGGAAATGCAAATAGAACCCACGAAATGTTACCTCACACCTATTAGGTTGGCTGTTATCAAAAACAGGAAAGCAGGCTTGGGGCAGAGTTCAGTGGTAGAGTGCTTGCCTAGTATGCTTGAAGTCCTGGGTTCAATCCATAGTACTGCAAATGAACAAACAACAACAACAACAACAACAAGCAACAACAAAAACTCAGGGGAGATAGTAAATGTTAGTGAAAATAAGGAACAATTACCTACTTGGTGGGAATGTATATTAGTATGGCCATTATGAAAAGCAGTATGGGGTTTTGATGATACCTTTTTTTTTTTGGTACCAGGAATCGAACTCGGGTCCTTGCGCTTGCGCAGCAGGCGGCGAAACCACTGAGCTAAATCCCCAGCCCAAGTATGGGGTTTTAAAAAAAACACTAAAAGTGTAATTACCATGTGATCCAGCAATCACACTTCTGGGTATATATCCACAGGAATTTAAATCAGTATATCAAGGAAGTATCTGTACTTCCTTATTCATTGCAACATTATTCACAGTAGCTAAGATATGGAATCAACCCAATAAATAAATGGATAAAGAAAATATAGTACATATGCACAGTGGTATACTATGGTATACTATTCAGCCATTAAAAAGGAGAGCTTATCATTCATGAAAACATGGATGAAACAACAGACCATTATGTTAAGTGAAACAAACAAGACATGGCAAGATAAATTCAGTACAATCTCACTAGTGAGTGGAATCCAAAATATTTGAACTTTCAGAAGTAGAGAGTAGAATGATGACTAGAGGTTGGGGTCAGGGAGATGTTGATCCAAGGGTACCAAGCTTCAGTGGGACAGAAGGAATATGTTTGCAAAATCTATTGTGCAGCATGTTGACTATAGTTAACAATAAGATGTATTGTTAAAAGGATAGGTTTTAAATGTTCTCACTACACAAAATTAAGGACATGCTAATTAGCTTGATAAAATCATTCCATAATGTATACATATATCAAAACATTATACTGTACCCCACAAATACACACAATTATTATTTGTCAAAAATAAAATTTAAATTACAAAAGAAAAGTTTTGAATTAAAAAAACTCTTGAAGTGGGATGCCAAAGAAATAAAAATGGTTTGATTGTTTTTTTCCCTCTGGAATGATTGGTATTTACTCAGAAGGAAGAGAATGAGATTAATAGGAACTTTCAGAAGCTCCCTAATGAATGATTCCCTCCACCTTCACTCCTGTGCATGTAGAATTCAGCCCTGGTCAATGGGCTGTGAAAGCAGCCAACTGGCAGCCGCTGTGAAGGAGTTGGACATCATGCCCAGATGTTCTGCTGCTGCTGAAACTTCCAGTGGTGACTGCAATAGCGGATCTTGGCCATCGGCTTGCTTCTTGGTCTGAATGAGTCTCACAGCATCTCTGAGGTTTTGTTTCCTCACTCGAACTCTGAGGGTGTGGGGTGACATTGTGGACATAATTCTGGCCAGTAGTGAACAATAATGGGTAGTTATAGTCAATAATGTTTACATGAAACTTAACATTAAACCTGCTGTTTCCATGCACTATTGAACTTAGTTCTCATTGAACTATCTTTTACAAGACTTAAAAAAGCAGCAAACCCTCTAACTCCATGCCATTTTATCCTCTTCAAATGAACGAGAAGCAATTGTGATTTTATTTTTGAATTTTAAACATATTTAGTCACAGGACACCAGTGATGTTTGAACTTCAAAAAGTTGATCAAAATGCTTTTCAGATGCCATAGCTGTAGATACTGGTCCCCTCTCCTCACTTCCAATGTTAGGGAGTTAAGAGGGCTGATGTTCCTACATAAGTTTCTCGAGAAATTTGTGACTGTGCCCAACAATAGCTCTGGGCTGAATGAGCTAAGGTGACCGCTCTGGCCTAGGTATTACAGGATGCTATAGTTTTCTTGGATCACTGATGTGTGATATTAAATTCTTCACATTTAAAAGTCTTGTCTTTTTTTTTTTTTTTGGTACTCGGGTCCTTGCACTTGCAAGGTAGGTGGTGCAACCACTGAGCTAAATCCTCAGCCCCTAAGAGCCTCCTTTAGTCAGTGTCTCCCTGGGGGAATCAAGTTGTAGGAAATCAACTTACACTATTCAAATACCTAAGAGAATGATTTATAAACCAAACAATCAATTTATTGTTTTACACTGGGAGATTTTGCTCTCATGACTGAAATGGTGTGTTTGCTACTCAGGACACCTACTTGTTAATAATTGGAAATCAAGTTAGTTATCAGATGTGTATTTCTGAGTTTTGGGATCAGAGTAAAGGGAATTTGATGATACACATTTAATTTAATCTGGACATATTTCAATCTTTACATGAGAAGTGTTATCTTTTTCTTTAGGGCATGTCTTATTTACTTTCTCATCTCTGAGGCATAAAACCTGACACCCACAAGTTAAAAGAGCAGAGGTTTACTTTGGCTCACAGTTTGTAGTGGTTTCTCTCTATAGACAGCTACATAGAATGAGACAGGGTGGCATGGCAGAGGGGAAACAGCTCCTGGCATGGCAAGGAGGAAGCAGAACATAGAGCAAGGGAGGAGGAGGCATATATAACCTTCCAGGCTATCCCTATAGTGACCCACTTCTTCCCACCCAACATCACACCCAGCTATAATCCCATTAGCCATGAGTATCACATACCCATGATCCAGTCATCTCCCAAAAGTCTGACCTATGAGCACATAAACTTTGGGGGGACATCTAGATATAAGGCATAACAGGGTAGTAGTGGGGATACATTGAGAAAGTTATGTGTTATTTTATACCTAGGTTTACAAATCTTTTAGATTGTTTTTGTTATTTCCAGTGGGCCTTTTTTAAAAAACATGTTTCCCTAATTTTTTAAGTGCCTTCATTATTTTTTCTGTACTTATTTTCCATGCCATTTTCTTGTTTGTATTATGGAATGGTTTCTGAATTACTATCTAGGAAAATTTCCTGTTGTTAGGAAATTCTAGTGCACTGATTAGTGTGCTGATTGTTTTTTTTGTTACCAGGGATCGAAGTCGGGTCCTTGCGCTTGCTCTGCAGGCGGCGAAACCACTGAGCTAAATCCCCGGCCCTGATTCTTCTTTTAATTAACCAGAGAGAATAGTATTCCCTGATCTTGCCGTTAGGTTTGAGAGCCACCTTAATGAGAGTTATGAGCGGCCGGGATTTAGCTCAGTGGTTCTGCCACCTGCCCTGCAAGTGCAAGGACCCAAGTTTGATCCCTGGTACCCCCCCCCACCCCCCCCTCAAAAAAAGAAAGAATGAGAGTTATGAGGAGAGGGATACAGTCCCATTTACAATACTGAATGTCTTTATTGGGTGTAATTTCATGCCAATTGCAAATAGTTTTCCTCTTTTTCTTTCTCTAACTTTACTTTTCCCTCTTCATTGAGTTATAAGTATTAATAAGAAAGGTTTCTATTTTATGATCTGTTAA